GTGTGTTCTCCCTGCCTACAACATGTAATAATGTCAGCTCAGTTATAGGTGCGCTTCTGCTGTTCTTTGGCTAGAGGTCATTGACAAGACTCAGATATGATTTCTTCAAGAAAATTAAAAAAATAGACCATCAGGTGTGTTTTAACATATTGAGAAGAAATTTTTGTAACTGGGGAAGAGTCTGAGGTTGAACAAGTGATACATACACAGAAAGTTATGCAAATAAAAAATCAAGATGTTTAGAACTTCCTGGGAATACATTTTGTAAGGAAGGGTAATTTTATAATATTACATGGCTCAGGTATAAATGCCTTTACATATTCATAATAAACACTAACTTTGGAACTAATCATAATTAAGACTTAAAACTACTGGATCTTCTGAGGAATAAGAAATTTGTGTGTGGTGAGCAATCGTCTGAAAAAGAGCCAAATCCCCATTTATAGTGAGGTCAAGACAAATCTAAAAGCAAAAGCGAGCCCTAAAGTACTAAAGTAACAACATTATAAGCATGTTATTTAGGATATGACAATATACCAACAGAAGCAGCTGAAGAAATAGCACTTGCTTATGAACAGGAACTACATGGAACATCTTTCTTTTTTCTTTTTTTATAAGATTTTATTTAACTTTATTTATTTACTTATTTATTTTAATTTGACCAGAGAGGGAAAAAAAAAAAGAGTGAAGGTGAGAAGGCAAGCTGCCAGGTCTGGGACTTGAATTGCAGTCAGCCATGTGAGAGTCCAGCGCCCTTAACCATCATGCCAGCTTCCGGTCCCACATCTTTCTAGAAAATCCTGGTGCAGACATCATTAATCAACCACTCCTATCTGACAGGCCAGCACTGGGCCTGAGAATTCTTTGCAACGTGATCACTATAGGGAGCTACCACCCTATGAATGAAGTTGACACTTGGGTTGAAATCTATTTACCTTGATCAGACCATATAATCGTTGATTCCTTATTCCTTTATTCTATGATTTTGTGAAATAAGGATTCATTGAATACAGGTGAATGACACATGAATGTGTCACTTAATATTATTGGGGGTGCCAGCATATGTTGTAGTGGTTACATTGCTGAACTCCCACATGGCTGGCCATGGCTTGAGTTCTGGACCCAGTAGCTTGAAAATCATGCTGGGCACATGTACATGTGTGCCCAAGATCCTGGGAAGAGAACAGAGAAGAAGGTATTTCAGTGTGGCCATTCTCTCTGGGGGTGATTTCTCACTTTCTCTCTCACTCTGTCTCTCTCCTGTGAGTGCACATGCCTTAAACAAAAACCTTATTTTTTTTTAAAGAGGCTTTTGCTATAGGGCATGTGCGCTCACCAGAAAGGTAGAGACTGAGAGACAGAAAGACAGAAAGTGAGAAATCACCCCTCAGTGGGGATGGCCACGCAGCAATCCCTTCTCCTCCATTCTCCTCTCAAGATCTTGGGCATGCACACACATGTGCCTGGTGTGAGTTTAAGCTGCTGGGTCCAGGACTCAAACCTCAGTCGACTACATGGGAGTTCAACAACATAGCCATTACAACAAATGCTGGTCCCACAAAAAACTTCTTTAAATAGAAAAAAGGATATTATTTGAAATAATATTCTTTTTTATTTTTGGAGAGGTTTTTGCTATAGGGGGCGTGTGTTTGCCAGAAAGAGACAGAGAGACAGAAAGCAAGAAATCACACCCCCCCGGGGGGGGGGGCATGGCCCTACTCCCTTCTCCATTCTCCTCTTGGGATCTTGGGCACGTACGCACACACACCCAGTGTGAGTTTAAGCCACCAGGTCCGGGACTCAAACCACAGTTGACTACATGGGAGTTCTGAGACATAGCCATTACGCTAACTGCTGATCCCTGAAATAATATTCTTTAGCAGGGGCCAGCAGTAAACTTAAGGTGCCGGACTCCCACATGGCCAACAGTAGTTCTAACCTTGGACCTGGTGCCTTTCAAATCACTCTGGGCACATATGCATCTATGTCCAAAAGCCCAAGGGAAAAACGGAGGAGAAAGGATCATGGCATGGCCATTCCCCCAGGGGGTGATTTCTCACTTTGCCTCTCTGTCTTTTTGTCTCTCTTGTGTGAGTGTAAGTACCCTATAGCAAAAGCCTAAAGAAAAAAAAAACATTATTAGGTAGTGAAATGGAGGCTAGATTGGACAGGGGAGGAACAGGACCTACAGAGAGCAGTAGGCAGTTTCAGTCCTTTGGATAACATTGGGTGGATACTGAGAAACATTTCTGATGTTCATCTATAGGGTATAATGATACAGCATTCACCATAGGAATGAAATAGTCGTATTCAGAATCTTGTCCTAACTATAAAATTCACTTTAGTCTTTCAAAAAATTCATTTCTATGAAGGAAGAAAAACAGTATTTACTGAATCTATTCCTGGCACCACACAATTCCACATTCATAATCACTTTTCTTCGGTGCAATAATCTCATTTCAAAGGACTGGAAATTTAGGAAGGTCAATGAATTCAGAATCTAAACCTGACTATCTGATTCAATGGTGAAAGTCCCCTCAGTATGGTAGTTGTCACCATTGTCTTGAACACTGGAACTGAGTTGTGAAGAGAGGAAAATGCAACTTACAAATCAGAGCAAAGAGAGATGATATCTGTATAAAATTACAAAAAAAAATATAGCATACAGAAAGTATTACATAGTAAGAGGATTTTGTTGTCACAATCTTGGGCATGAGCTTATGTTTATAAAGAGAATGATATTCCAGCCTTTAAGACATGATGGTGAATGTCCAAGCAAAACGCCTGGACTCACTATCTTAAAATATAGATATGGGGTTTTATTTCCTTGGAGTGCCAAATGGATGTCTTCCTCCTGACTGGGCCTACACTTAGCAAATGCCCAGGGAGGGTAAAGGTCACCCATCTTTCCTTGCCAAGACATGATTTTGTGCATACACACACACCCTGCTTGAGTATTTTTTTTTAAGAATTATTTTATTCAACTTTATTTATTTTAATTTGACCAGAGAGGGACAGAGAGAGAGAGAGAGAGAGAGAGAGAAAGCAAGCTGCTAGGTCTGGGACTAGAACTGCTGTTGGCCATGTGGGAGTCCAGTACCCTTAACCACCAAGCCACCTGCCGACCCCCATCCTGCCTGAGTTTTAAGCTATCAGGTACAGGACTCAAACTGTGGTCAACTATGTGGGAGTCCAGTGATGTAACCATTTCACCATCTGCTGGTTACCAGATAAGATTTTGAAAAGCAGATGCTGTTTTTGAGGAATCTTCAAAAAATTCATGGAAAACATATATTAAAATTAAAAAAAAAAACTGCATGGATTTCATGTGTTTTTTTTTTCCTTTTTTACCAAATAAACTTGTACTTTAATTCCATTTTCCTATGATTCCTTTGAAGTTTCCCTCATCTGAGAGATATACCTAAATAAGGACACACAAAAAATGAAAATGGGAAATGAAATGCCATGGGAAAATCTAACCAAAAGAAAGCAAGTATAACTGCTATTATTGTACTAATATCAGACAAAAGACACTTTTCTGCAAAAAGGCATTACTAGAGTTAAAGAGATTGCAGAGTAATACAAATCAATCTACCTGTTGGAACTATAGTAAAACTATAAAAAGTATATGAGAAACATAGGTAAGAATTCTGTTTTGCCAAACAGGAAAAACACATTTTGGCTCATTGAGACAGGAACAAAATGATTATGAATGCCATCTGAGACCGAGGCCTAGTCATTTGTAACACTCATGGCATTAACCATTTTTTTCCTACTTTGTTTAAGACAATGGGTCTTTTGGTTAGAACAGGCTAAGTTATACTACAGATCTAAGCAATGGCCAAATAACATGTCTGTAAACAACAAATGCTATTTCTTACAAAGTCTGTGCCCAGACAAGATGTATCTAAGGCCACTGTTTGCTGGCTGTTCCACTTGACAGCAGCTTTGTATCCTACACTGCCACAGTTTCCACAGGAGAAGAAAAAGAACCGGGCGTGAGAGGTTCACCCTGGCCATGAGATGTTCTAGGCTGGAAGTGACATGTGTCACTCTTGTTCATAGTTCATTGGCCACAAGTAGTTATATGACCACTCATATGCAAAAGGTATAAAAAAGATAAACTTCATGAGCTCAGAAGGATAGGAGAACCAGGCATGGACCAGGATCAAAAGTATCCACCATAGCTGGAAATTCCTGTTTAAATTTCTGAGTTCATGAACTTCCATAAGGACGTGGAGTATAACATTACTTAAGAGAATGGGTAAGGTTTCTACACACCTGGCTGATTCATCTCTTTCACCAAAGGAAGCAATGACCAAGGCTCCAGCACTAGGCAGCAGCCCTCTCTAGGACCCTCTGCCCTGTCAGGAACACTTGGTCACTAAGCACAGGGAGTGATAACCTGTGAAGGAAGAGAGTCAGAGGCAACAGGACCCAAATCCCTCTCTTGAGACCATGTTGAGAGTAGAAAGGTAGTGGCCATCTTGAGCATCCTCTGGTGTTCACCTCTACTGCTGCATAGAATTAGCTTGGTAGCCTGACATTGGGCCCTGTATTGTCCATGCCTGGTCGGAGGTACAGACACTGCTCATCTATATTTATGTGATTTGATTTGTTCTTCACCTGTTCTTGTCTGCCATGTTACCACACTGATTCTGCCTCTCTCAACTGGAGAGAGTGATCCACTTGGCCCTCCCCTGCAGCAACTCCCTAAGCTCTTCCAGAACTGGATGGCCCGGTGAACTTTTCCTGGCCAGGTTGATGTCTAATCCAAACAAGACTTGTTTCTAATTTAGTGGTAGCAAAAAGAGATAAAAAGAAAAAAAAAATAGTGAAGGACTATGACCTTACAATAGGGTGATCCATTTTTAAAATGACCTTTTCTCTGTTACCCTTTTCTTCTTTCTTTATTGATAGCATAAACAACTTCCTAAAATATTTTTACTTCAAAAGATAGCACTGAGCTTAAAGATCAGAGAGTGGTTTTCAACACCCACCTCTAATAGAAGCCTTTGATGCAATGCTTGAGTTTGGATCAGTGTATCAGTGGACACTTTCAACAGTAGCTCCATCTTCTTTAAGTTTCGAAAATCTCGTTCTTTCTCTCTCTGCTTACGGGAAAGTTCATCATGGTAGTTCTGCTTGTCAATGAGACTGTTTCGTAAATTGAGATCCAAGATCCCTCTGTTCCAGGTAAAATAATGCACATGACTTGTCATCATCTGTCCTACATGTTTTTCAAAACTTCTCAAGACAGCATGATCAGTATATACTTACAGAACTATTCCCATGCTAGAATTATAAACTGTGAATAATGCCAAGAGCAACTATTAATATGTTTGCAAGTTGGCACTTGTCAGACACAGAACCTCCAGTTGACATGAAATTTTACTTAAAACTAGGAAGCAAAACTTCCCCAATCATACTATAAAATTGCTCCCATTAGAAAAAAGGCAAGATTACCTCAGAAATATTCATTTGTTGATAAAATCCCGTAACTAAATTGTATACTCTAGTAATATTAGAAGCACAGAAACTTACAACATAAGACAGATTTTGTCCTTAAAATTTGGTCTTACAGAACTGAGGAAAATGATCAGGATAGGAAAAATACTTAAAAAATGCTTGGAAAATATTTCCTATCAGTGATAACATTGATTTAAAAGGTCTATAAAAGTATTTATTAAATCAACATAAACCTGTTTAGATTGTTTTGAAACCTCAAATATAAATGAAAGAAACATTTAAATGTAGAACACACCTTTCGGTTAGTGAACTTGCTTCGTTCTCTCTGGTTAATTCCAGTATCTTGACCAACTGGCTATATTCTCGTTCTTTGACTTCAAGTAATGCTCGTTTGCCTTCAACTTCCTTTATTACATCCTCCTTTTCTTCCATGATAGCACTAACTTTGTTTTCCACTTTCTTTAGGGAATCATTTAGCTCTTTAACTTCATATTCCAAAGCAAGTTTCTTCTTTTCTATTTCTCTGTAAGGGATACACACACACACACATACACACATGCTTACCTTATTTCGAATTTACACCACAGATGAGTAGGACTTAGAGGGTTTCTCCACTGAGAAAGGGCAGGGATTTACTCAGCTTCCCTACTTTCTCCCCAGATCCCAACTGCTATCATCTCCCATGATTCTACCTTCATCCTGACCAACCTCCTGGAACTGACCTGAATTTGTCAGCTCTGGTGCTGGTAAGCTTGGTTTGAAGACCCAATACTAGTACCTTGTTCATTTTTCCCTTTTAAGATCAGCCATCAGAGTAATACAGTATGTCTCCAAAATTTTCTTATCTTATTTTCATCTTTTTCTGGTTCTTCTAAACTGAGACTATCAATGACCTCTGAATATCTGGGAGTGTTACATGTGAGAACAGAGGGCAATGTAAGGAGTCAGTATATTTGGGCTTTTGGCTGCTGACTGTCTGACATACTTTCAGACCATAGTTTTTTTTTAATTAAACAATTTTAACATATACTAATTGTACATATTTGTAGGAGTACAATGAAAGTTTTCAGTACACAACCACAATGTGTAGTGATTAAATCAGAATAATTAGTATACCTATCATCTCAACAATTTGTCATTACTTAGGGTTGGGAACATTCAGAATTCTCTTTTTAAATGTACTCTGCAATATATGTAAAACTGTTAATATTTATCCCACTGCATTTTGTAACATTAGACATTGTTCTTCTTAACTATCTGTAATTCTGTTTTTGTTAATCAACATCCTTCTATTTTCCCCACTCTATCTTTCCCTGTCTCTAGTAGTCATTCTTCTTCTACTTCTATGATATACCATGAGAATTCTAACCAGTTCAAATAATTTCTCACTTGCACAGCTCTGTTAAAACAACTGGAGTTCTCCATAAAGATACAATTTATAAATTAGAAACAGAATCTTGACCCATGTTTAAGACATAAACAAGTGTTATAAATGATAATCTGCTATGCTATTTCCTTTTAAAGAATTTGATATACACCAGCTAGACAGAGCCAAAAGGAGATGTTTCTAAAATTCTAATAAGTGATTAGTACTCTTAGTTCACACTCATAACTTGGGGGTTGGCTGGGAGGAATTCAAGATGAAAAATATTAAAATCATACACTTTTTTGCGGGTTATTTTTTCTATCTCCTTTGCAATTTGTACAGGAATGGTTTGATGGTGGACCAGTTCATCCTAGTAAAGAGATGAAATCACAATAAATTGTATAGTCTTGGATTAGCAGCAATTAAGACAAAGAAAGTAGGAGAGTGAAAGGAACTACAATATGTAAAGTTCTTTCTATATTTCCCTTGTGTTTTAACTATTCCATTCAATGCCCAATGACTTTATAACATAGTTCTGTTTGTTACCATTTTAAACAGAAGGCAACCGGATGTAACAAATCCTTTTGTTGCTCTGTTCAGACTCCCTTTATGAAGGGACAGGCATCAGTCAGATACTAAAGGGGTTAACTACTAACCTCTCATGCTTAATTTCTTCTCCATTGGCTTGCCACTGACTGAGCAGAACTGCCTTGGCAAGAAATTGGGTGAAGGGAAGAGGGGAGCAGGCTGTGACCAATGACTGACCGATGTGATAATGTAAAAACTCATCCTACTAGCCTCTGGGTGGAATAGTGTCTGGAGTGCTATTCATGATCTAGAGTTCACCATGGGGCAAGGTTGAAGCTAGAGCTCTCCTGAAACTTTATTTTGGCCCAGTTTCTCCCAGAGTTCTATCCTCAGCCCCCACAAACAATCCCTACCCACCACTGAATTCTTAGAGTTCTCCCTCAATTAACACTTATCTTGGGCTCTGCTTCTAGGGAAATTTGCCTAAGATTCATGCTATGAGAAGTTAAATATTTTCCCAAAGCTGCACAGCTAGTAAGTGGCAAGGCCAAAATCAGAAGCTTAGTTTGTCTAAAACTACTATACTTTCCACTATTCTCTGTGGATTCATGGAAGGTATAGCTTAAGTCTCAAGATTCTTGACATACATGGCTGAGGTTATAGAAGAGCCTCTTCCTGCATGAGTATTGCACTGGACTTGGAGGCCCAGAGTAACACACATACATGGATGGAGGACCACATCACTTAGTGAGCTAGAGTGGGACATTTCTCTGTGGGATCCTGCTCAGTTCTGGGGCAGATCAGAGTGTTGTGAGGCTAAAATTTATACTATTTGGGTAGCTCTCTTTTAGAAAGAGAATAAATAAGACACAAATGCTATTAGGTCATTGGGAAAGTCATGATGTATTTTTCTGTTTTTCTATGCAAAAATGCATCATGACTTTCCTGATGACTCAGTCAATTAGGTGCAGGGCCATGGAAGAAGCTCATGCAAGTGAGGACATGAATCTTCAGCTTCACTGGGTTCCTGGTAAATTCCTATCTGCTTAGTTCCTATGTTCTAGGGCAGCTGGACTCATGTTGTCCCAGGGCTCTAAGATGCTTAAGGAAAAACAGGTCAAAGTGAATCATAATTATCCTTTGAGCTAATGAGTCTCAGATGTTTTTAATACAACTGTAGCTGATGTAAGTTGTTTTGAGAGCTAATATACATTTTTCAAAATAAAATGAATTTAAATTCATGATCTCCTCAACATAAATATAGGCCCCCTCACCACTTTTATGGTGAGAGGACATGGAGTGAAACCAAACAGACAAGGATCAGGTAATAAACATATACACAAGAGGCTAGGATATGTAATTGCTCTTCAAGGGAGCAACTGCGTGTGTGACACTCATTTCTAATATCACCGAATGTTTGGGGAGGTCTGGAGAGGCTTTTTCCCAGAGTCAGAACTCCAAATTAGAGTGATAGTCCCAAACATCCTTAGGTGTTTTGTAAATTCCCATAGCCTACATTTAGTTTGATAAAGTCAATCACAGTGCAGAGCATTCTAGCTGGTGTAATAATAACCCTATCTGTCAAACCTTTGTAGTTAATCTTGATACCCATGTGTTTTTACACTAATTCAGACACAATGTTTAAATATTTATAAGCTGGAAGTAGCACACCTTTAGGACGACCTGATATTCCAACAACTCTTCTAGTTCCTTCTGCTCCTTTGTTAATTGCTTTTGTTTTGATGTCAAATCTTCCCGTAAATTTTTAACTTCCAGTTTCTTTTGCATTATTTCCTTACGTAATTCTTCAGTGCTGTCTTTCAATAATTTCATCTTCTTTTCTATTTCCTTTAAAAGTCATGAAAATGATGAGGTTAGATAGTTGAAGCCAACATCTGTCTAAAAATTAAATTATAAATAATTTCACTCACAATTTTGATAATATTTGTTTTGGAGTTTGTGAATGATTTCTTATAAAGTACAACTTACAATTTCTGACCATCACACTGCATGTGTAAGTAAGCCTTTTACATTAGATTTTAATTCTTATAATTCATTTTAATTCTTCTTTAATTCTTCTTCTTTTCATTAGTGCTCTTTCCTATCCTCCTGTAAATATTTCTTTTTTTCTGAGTTAACTTATATTTCATACCAAAAAATATTAATGGAAATATCCAGTCTGGTTTTTAGTAGCTTTGTGATCTGACAGAATCAAGTGTAACAATCTTTGACTGTCTGACTTACATAATCTGAGTTACATAGGAACTAAAGATAAGGGTAAATTATATTTGGGTACCCCATTCTTGACATTTCTTAATCTTCCACTCTCTTATTGATATTACTTGTCTAAGTCATGAGCATTCTCCCCAAATTCACTGACTCTAAACTCATAATGGATTTATTTCCCATGTCTGGTTATCTGGTCACACATACTCACACACCCAAAATGTTTTTCAAGTTGATGTGGCCAGGATTAGAACCACAGTTTACCATGTGGGATCTAGGCCCTCTAAACAGTAGGCTATGGGTCTGGCCCAAGAGAAGCCTTAAACTCAGCAAGCCTACATGTTACTTACTAATGACTAAATGAATGCATCCATTTCGCCTGCTCTGGGCTCTATGTGTTTCTCTCTGCTTTCTAGTCCTGCCAGGAGAGTATAAAATTAGTAATTCTATGATTTGGAATTAAAATTCAAAATGCTTTTCCCTATAAAACAAGTGCTGTACCCAGTGGTTAGATAAATAGAATTAATTGTATTTAATACTATGTTAAACAGGTTTTTACAGCTGGGGTTGGAAACCATTACCAATACACTTTTGAAATATAACCATTCAGAAGGCAGAAGCACTGCAAAGTGCCGATATTTTCTATGATAGATAGCAAAAAATGACCACAATTCTTATTGCCCATATCCCTTTGCAATTATTCTTTCTCATTCTTCCCATTAAGATGTAGGGCCTATTTCCCTACCTCTTGATTCTTGACTTAGCTATGTGACTTGCTTTGGCTAATGTGATATAACCAAAAATGATCTAAACAGAGACTCAAAAAGTCTTTGCACATTGGGGTTTGCCCTCTTTTGGGGTTGGAAACCTTTCCACCATCATGTGTCAAATCAGCAACATGTGACCTTGGACTAACTAGCTTGTCAACTGGTTGACATGAATGATGCCCTCTTAGGCCACCCAGGCTCAGTGAGACAGCTCAGGCCAGAAAATTTCAGAAAAGTGAAAAATAAGAAATGGTGGTAATTTTCAGCAGCTAAGTATTCGGATGATTTATTTTGCAGGAAGAAATATGAGGAGTCTTCAAAAAGTTCATAGAAAATATGTTTTATGAAGAAATTATACATGGATTTCAAAAAATTTTTGAACCAAAATGTGCTCGTACTTTACTTGCATTTACCCACGCATTTTGAAGTCCCCTTGTAAGTGATATATCTTCTTTACAAAAACTTCTTATAATTTCTTGAGATGTTCAGGAAACTATGAAAGTTACAACTATAGCAAAAGTAATGTTTTTAAGTATGAACCACAGAATCTCTTTTTTCTGCTGGAAACAAAGCAGATACTGTCCAACCAGTCTAAATTGGATGCCAAATAGCTAACGCCTAAAATAGGCACCACTTATATTTATTCTAGAAGTTGGGTACTTATTCAGCATCATCCACAGTTAAGACTTTTCAGACTTTCAAATGTTTCCGTGCATGACTGTTGTGATAAACATTATTATTTCTATAGAGCTATATTTTAATCAGCTATATCAAACTCTAGATCATCTAAGACTTACTCCTGGCTTAGGTATCTTCTCAAATTCCTTTAATATGATGTTTTTTTCTTCATTTAAGCTGCACGAAAAAAAAAAAAGGAAAAGAAATCAAGTTTGACATAATCTGAGTTAATAATTTACTATTTTCTCTTCTCAATATGCTGTTCCCATTCTGGTCTGTCCATTCTTTAGGATGACTTTCCTGACTCCATGGGGACATTTAGGTGCTTCATCTTCCCCAGGACTCCCAGGACACTGTGCACATGCCCATTAGAGCAGATATCTCAGCACATTATAGCTGGGAGCATAGACCTCCCCTCTAGACTCGGGCTCCCTCTAGGTGGCTGCCAGCTTTTTCTTCTTTATGTTATTTGCGATCAGCTGGTCCCTGCCTGGATGGCTGCCACAGCCTCCCCTCACTGACATGTATCTTACCTGCCTCTGCCTTTGCTCATTAAAGTAAATTCTCCACCCAGAACCACAGTGTTTCAACAACGTGAATGAGATCACGTCGCTTCCCTGCTTGAAAATGTCTCATCACACCTGGACAAAAATTTAAACTCCTCGCTTGAGCCTACATGGTTCTGTATAACTTGCCTCTCCAGCCTCCTTGTGTGCCAGTCTGGATCCAACCACATTGGGCTTCTTGCCAAGCATAATTTTTGCTTCTGGGACTTTGCAATCTCTGATCCCTCCAACTGTCCTGCCCTTCCACAGATCTTTGCATAGCTCATGCCTTACCTCACGCAGACCTGTGCTGGGTGCCGCCTTCTTATGGAAGTGCCTGACCATGCTACCTAAAATAGCACCAATAGTCTTCATCACTC